GGGGGAGTGAATAGGCCTGTTTAAACCAAACTCGTAGCGGAAGTCAAATTCTAAGTGCGGCATTGCTGCACTAATGCTGCCGCACTGCCGCACTGTCTCACTGAAAATGCAGCACTGTCGCGCCTGCGCAGAGAGTTCATCAACAGCTATGCCTAGAACCCAAACTTGATGATGTGCATGGAGATGTCCAGTAGCAAATCCACTAAGTACCTGCACTCACAAACACACACAACCAAGTAGATCGAGTGGAACACAGATAATGCAATTCAAAACATAGAGAGAAGACACACGATTTGTCCTGTGGTTCAGCTCACCACCAAGGCTTGCCTATGTCCACGTTGTTGAGGCAGCCACTTAGGCTTGGGCTTTGCAACCCTTATCCTCGTTCTCAAGTCAAGAGAGTGAACTCTTGAGACGAGAGGTTTCCACCAGATCAATAAGTAATACAAACTTTCCCGTGGCTCACCACAAGTACGGGAGCTCGTCGGACAACGCCTAACCGTCTAGGAGGCTTCACCTCCAAGAGTAACAAATGCGCAACAAAAGATTGACGCAGCCCAACAAGTGCTCAAGATTTATCTTGCTCTGATTTGCTCTCTAACATTTAATCACACACCAATAACTCACTCTCACAAAGAGAGGAGTTAGAGAGAGCTCACAAATGGCTTGGAATGAGTTGGGAGTGATCTAAATGTCAGCAGCCTCGCTAGAAGGCGTGGGATGGGTATATATAGACCCAATCTCAAAACTAGCCGTTGCAATTCAAAAATTAGCCATTATGATCTGTACAGGTGCGGCATTGTCGCTCCGACCCGCGGCACTGCCGTGGTGCAGCACTGCTGCAAAATTTCACAGCACTGCCGCAGCTCTGAAAAACAGCACAGGTCACCTCACATAAAACACCATAACTTTTTACACCGAACTCCGTTTTCAGTGATCTTGGACTTTCCGAAAAGCTTGTTTCGAGGGATATCCAGCCCAGCCAAGAACAAGCCCAAGATCAACAAGTGTAAGTGTTGTGCTAATGTGTTTCTCTCATGTTAGCACTTGGGTTTGGTTAGTTTGAGCACTTAAGACTTGTTTATGATTCGTATTGTACCCCCTTTGATAGTACGACATACCTATACTCAAGATCGAGAGAATAAAACCATTTCAACCACTTGAGTCTTCAATATCTTCATATGCCATTTTTTCTCGATATCACTTCATAAGGGGCTACAATCATTTTTGTCTCATCTCTTCGAGCAAACGTACCTTGAGCATGTGACTTGAACCATTTCCATACATATAAGTTCACCTCATGGCTTCAAGTCACTTCTACTAATGATTTGATCCTCAGCACAATATGACTCCTCATAGCTCGATTAGTTCCTCGACTCAATGCAAGTACTCTCTTCTTCACCTTAGCCATGGTACCTCGGTCCTCAAGCCATTGCTTGCCCTTCACCTTTGCTTAGTCCCTCGAAGCCCTTTCCTTGCTATCTTCACCCTATCGAGCCATACTCAAGTCACATCATATTAAGCATCCATTGAAAAACTATTTCTTCAATATTATGATCCTTGCTTCAATATCTTCTAGATATGAATGTTGAGATCAATCAAGCTTCAGTTGGATTCACATAGACTGAGATATATGAATCAACATCAATATGGTAAAGCCAATTCACGATTCCTTATATCCTCTTCATTTTGTATTGACACTCCTAACACTCACTTCAGTATCTATCTTCATACTTCTAGCTTGATCAAATCAATGCAAAGTGATTTTCCAAATCTTTGTCCATACAAGCAAACCAACATAGAGACCGACTTATATCCAATATGAGTTGTGTCCTTTGCCATTTAACCTTTGCTTGGTATGTCTTCACTTATGCATTCTTGACTCATTCTTCAATCCTTGATCAAACTAATCAATTATCAAACTCTTCTTATTCTTGATAAGCAAGCCATTATTGAGACCAATTCAAAATCATAAATTTATGTCTCATTTGTCATTTGCCAAATATGCTTGCTTTCTCATGATACTATGATATCCCACAACATAGAAGCCATTTCATCAACTCCATTTGCATTGTTGTCTCCAACACAACAATACACAATTTTGGCCTTGATTTGAACATTATGTTCAATATCATCAAGTTTGCCTTCTTGTTGAACCTATATACACTTCTCATTTCACAATCCACAAGTGTATGCAATAAACTCAATTTCCTGTTCAACACTTAGCAAATTTGTTATTAGACCTTTAATGGTATTGTCATTCAATTCATTAAAACCCACTAAAGAGCTAGATGCACTTACAACGTCGCCTACCACTAATAGAATAGCGTCATTAAATCCTGGAATAAATTCAGAAAAATGCGAGCACCCATGTGGGCAGGTTTGAAAGCCCTACTTTGGTTTTGGCTAATTGATGAAACCTATTTGGACTAACCCTATGCTCTAAGTGTGTGAAAGAGATAGGTTGGTCCAAGACCAAGGTGGAGCTAGGTGTCACTCAAGGATGATGGAGATGGCCACATGTGATGATGATCAAGTGGTCTACTTTAAAAAAGAAGAGATAAACAAAATAGGCTCAAGGCAAAGGTATAAAACATATGACCATTTTGTTTTGTCGGTCAAGACACTGTAGAAAGTGTGGCTGGATTTAGGATAGATAGTCGTACTATGAAGATGTGAGAAATTCATTGTGAAATGTGGTTATCAAAGTGCCACTAGAAGTTCTAACTCATTGCATATGCATTTAGATTCTAGTGAGCTAATTTGACCCTTGAAAATGCTTTGGAAAAATACTAACACAAGTGTTTGGTACACATAGTCACACAAAAAAGTGTTTGGTATACATTGGTGTTAGCACCTCAAGGGTGGAAGAAAAGAGGGGAAAGGAGGTGATTTATGGGTGTCGGCCATGGGCGCTGAGTCCGACGGCTAACCCTAGGTGGGCTGTGATCCCAGGCGTCGGATCCAGGGATGTTGGGGCATCAGCCTTTGGCTCCTGAGTCTAACAATGGCGTTTTGTGAAGGAATTGGAGGCGTCGGACTCTGGTGGGTCCGACGGGTGACGCCAGACTGAGTCCGAAGGTGTCTGGAGCTCTCGTTGTGAAATTTGAGGTGGTATCGGACTTTGACGTATGGTCCAGCCACCTTGGTCGGACAGGGTCCAGAGCGAAAAAAATGCTCTCTGGAACCTTACCGGAAGGCTCCTGACTCTTGGGGATGCTTTATCAACTGAGTAGGATGTTAGCGCTTCAACTGCCCACCAAGTTAATTCTTTAACTTGGCATCGATACTCACGTAATCTTGAATTTATTTTAAAATTTGAAGATAATATTTTTTCAGTGGTAAGGAGATGTTGTAATGATTTTGTCAATTTTAAACTTTATTATGGTTCAAACTCTCCAAAGTGTTCATTAGATAATACTCTCTCCATCCCAAATTATGAGTCATTACAACTTTTTTAGAGAGTCAAAACATTTAAAGTTTGACCAAATTTATATAACAGAATAATAACATTTATGATACTAATAAATATCGTTAGATTCTTCATTAATTATATTTTTATAGAATACCTATTTGATGTCATAAATCTTTAAAAAAAATTCTATAATTTAGTCAAACTTGAGATGTTTTGACTTTCTAAAAAAGTTATGCCTTATAATTTGGAAGGGAGGGAGTATGTGCTTATGTTCGTGTAAGCGAGCTACTGCCTGCAATGTGTTTCTCAGAAGGAAATATACATATATGGAAAATTTGTACCAGCCATGCAAGGTGGCGACTGCCTGGAGTAAAATTAATCCTATTGTCCCGGGACGCAAGTGCAGTTTGGACTATTCCGACGTGACTATGACATGTGGAAATTTCGCGGTTTCTTATTATTCTTGCTCTTAGACTAGAAGCTTCACCTGACTTGGACCTAATGGATCGTTATTACACCACGCGTGACACGTTCTGCAAAGTCTATGCATGCAGGAGACCACCAGCTTCACCTGATTAGTATGTACGGAGTACTACTGGAAGCTAATGATTAGTACGTGACAGGTAAACAATTTGGTATTTTCACATACGGTCAGTATTATATATACTTTTATTACTACTGCCAATTTTGCCAGGTCCAGAGCATGTCCAATATAATTTTGCTACCTCTTTTTCGTTTTCTTCTACTTATTAGATCAGATGTTGCTTTCAGCATACTCCTATCCTATCATACATTTAAATTAAAACAAAACCCAACCATACATAGTGCAAATTACTAGGTTAATTATATCATAATCCATCTCTTTCATATATAGCTTTCTTCAGGGCATTTATTTGTTTGTTTCAACTGAAGACGAATTTAGAAAGACGACAATCTTGTATTGTATCTCATCATACCATGTTGATGGAGATTGGGGACACGCGTACAACCTTATTACCATGTAGTACTCGGTACCACTATTTGATATACTAAGTGAGAGATTGGAGGCACGCGTTAGGTCGTGTTAACCCCCAAGGCCCCAACGAATTGACGTTGGGCATATCCAGCACCACGAGAATATCCTCGCTATAATCACCGCCCACCACATGTTTATAACTTCATTAATTTATTTACCTGATGATGAGGTTTGATAAGAACAATGCTATTACAAATACTACTCATTGCTAGTTCTTTTTCGTAATGATTATAACTTATCTTTACACTTCTTTGCATATCCGCTAAACTTGTCGCGGATATAGTTGTGTCTATACACAATTATGATGAACCCACAAGCCCATCTGATGATGAGGTTTGATAACTTCATTAATTTATTTACCTGATGATGAGGTTTGATAAGAACAATGCTATTACAAATACTACTCATTGCTAGTTCTTTTTCGTAATGATTATAACTTCTCTTTACACTTCTTTGCATATCCGCTAAACTTGTCGCGGATATAGTTGTCTATACACAATTATGATGAACCCACAAGCCCATCTGGATGCCCCATTGCCCCAAGTGTACTGAGTTTACACCATGTGTCCTTCAGTCCATTTCTCGGCCCTTGGTCTCTACAGGGAAGAGAATGCAGGCAACTCCGGCGAGGAACAGCACCAGCTCAAACACCAGCACTGCTTCCATCTGGTGGCAGTTCCGCAGCATGCCAACTGCGACGAGTGGGCAAATAACCCCGCCAATCTTACCAATGGCGGTTGCGATTCCGACCCCCGTTGAGCGAACAGATGTCGGATACACCTAGAAAGAGAAGGGCAGAATTAACTCACTTAAAACACTCTGCTGTGAGTTCTAGAACACTCTGCTGTGAGTTCTAGTAGGACCTGTCTATAACAATGCTAAAGCTGTATCAACGTATGTTCTATTTGTAGTCTTCAATCCACAAGATAATGAGATCTAACTACACCTACATGCCGATGTAATGATTTATACAAGGAAACCTTGAATGATGGATCTTCAAAGCTTCAGGTTGAATAGGATGGCCGTGTGAACATATAATATCAATGAATAATTTATGAAAACAAAATGAACTTATATTAAATACTCTTTACCATAAGAAAGTTAAAACGAACCTCTGGGGCATATAGACATAAAATCGTTGTGGTACCGGTGCCACAAGCACGAGCTCCGAATAGAAGAGTAGTTGTTAGCAACTCATTCTGATGAAGTACGAGTGGCCCAAGGAAAGCACAGCATGCAAACATCAGGCTCCACATAGTAGCCTTCCGGCCAAACCGATCAACAAGCAAAGCCGACAAAATTAAGCCTGGAATCTCTGGTAGAGAAGCGAAACCATGAATTAAATGGGATGTTCCATAGCCAGTCACAACAAGTGTGTGTGTGTGTGTGGGGGGGATTAAAAGAACTTACTGTATTCTACCTGCTAAACTAGTGATAAAAGTATCTTTATAAAGATTTCCATCATTTTGGTGCACTTCAAAGATCAGACCAGATTTACAGCTTCTATTCACATCACTTAGTTGCGATGTCAGCAATGCTATCCCATAATAAGCAAAGGAACTTGCATAGTAAACAAACCAAATAAGAAGAGTTGATCTGAGCAAGTTATGTGATAATAGCTCGCGCAATGCAGCAATAGCACCAGATTTGGATCTAATAGCATTCCTAACTGTATGTTCCTTCTCTCTGACTGGAATAAGGTGTTCATCCTCAGAAACATGAGTGATGTAATCAGTCTTTGTTTCTTGATGGTATGTGAGAACTCCCACAGGAAGAGCTCCTTGGTTTGCAATGGCCATTCTCTCCAGGACAAGCCTTGCATCAGTCATTCTATTCTGTGCACAAAGATAGCGTGGCGACTCGGGTGTAATTCTGAAGAAAGGAAGCAAGAGGAAGCATGGAAGGGCGGTCAATGCCAGCAACCACCTCCAACTTAATGCTGATAGTACAGCCTGCAATGCAAATAAAAATGAGCAAATTTCGATGTGAAAACTTGTACACGTACAAGTCAGATGTGTACCAAACCCAAACCTAACTTACTGAATTCCAGACATTTTGATCAGATACAGAAAAGTCAGAGTTCAGATGGTTAGGTAAAAGTACGATCATCAGGTAGGCATCACACATTGAGATATCTTAAGCATTGCTACAGAAATAATGACAGTATAGTACAAACGGATAATGCAACTGATAAATCCGGTTGTCAACAGTCACAAATACACTACACCTGAAGAAAAATCAATGTTACACATGACACAGAGCATTCCAAAAAAATTCTGGTTTCCGAGGCCTGCTTCAACAAATTCCTACACAGAATTAAGGAAAGCATGCCCCTCGCAGTTATGCATAATGTATTATCTCTGAAATTAACTAGTTGCGTTCCTTTCACAATAGATTATATGTACAGTATTACCTATAAGAAAACCATGGAATGAAAAAGGGAAAACAATGAGTTGTAGTGAAGGAACAAATGTCATACCCATGCAAGTGAAGCCTCCAAGACTGTGCCAATAGTCCAGAAAAAGGAAAAAATAACCATCCAAGTGCCACGATTTCCTGCTGGAACGAACTCCAAGAACCAAGATGTAAATACATGCCCACTGCCCACTCCTATGCCGACAAAAAACCGAAGAACCAGCAAGCACAAGTAGTTAGGAGATAAAGCACTTAGAAAACCCATTCCACTAGTAAGCAGAGTTGAAAGCAATAGAACAGTCCTGAAAAAAAATACAAGTGCTTGGAACTTTCCAAACCCAATGAGGGTAAGAGCGTCATCGGTGGTGTATGTTTCCATATTAGCAGCACCTGCAAATTCTGAAAAAACTTGTGAATCAACAATTAGAGATTCTGATATTGCAAGTCAACTCAATGGGATTTGGTGTTTGCCAATACCATATACTTTACAAAACAATTTCGTTTTTAGGGAACATACTGGACTCACCACTGAACCAGTGTGTGTAGCACCGTGATCTGACAACACTTATTTGATGAGTAGAATGAGTATCAATGTCTATCTGACCCGAGTTTCAGAATAGAATCAACCACTGCAGTCCATTGACCTTTTCTTTTTCTGGATTAAAAGAGTGTGCCGGACGCCACTGCAGTGAAGGAGGTCAATGTTCAGAAACAGAAAGCAAGTGTAATCCACCCAGCAAGTTAAGGGAGCCATGCTTTATTGACAAAAGCTGAAAGCACAAAGGAAGCATTATTCCTTGGAGATTGAGACGAACTGCCATACTATTTTCTCATGGCACCGTCACCCATACACGAGCACAAAACCAGAAAGCTTGGAGATTGAGAGGTACGGCATAGTATATTCCTTGTGGATAGGATAGGGAGGTACTAGTACGGTTTTATTGGCAGAAGATGCGCAGGTGCGTTGACTTTGAGCTGCAGCTGATAGGGTGGGAACATTTTTCTTGACACGGGTTTCTCATCTCAGAGTAAAGAAACGCCACGACTGAATGCGCGGAGCTATCAGGATCAAAGGCATGCATACGGATACAGCGAAGCCGAACATGTATGCCTAGCCTAGTGTGCGCCCGCCGCACTCTTGCAGGAGAAGAGGAGACCGCCGCCGGTATTCGGCATCAGTACGAGGGGAGCGGGGTGGAGGAGGAGGACAGACGAACGAAACAAAGGAATCAGTAAAAGAGGCGAGGCCGCGAGGGCAAGGGAGGAGTCGATGGAGGGAGAGGGAGAGGAAGAAGCGAACCAGGCGGGCGAGCTGAGCGGCAGGTGCGGGCGACGCCGGCGGCCTTTCAGGACCAGCGCGTCGAGCGGAGGAGCGGCTCCTCTCGGCCCCGGCGAGCGACGGGGCGGCGGGCGCGGAGCGGAGCGGAGCGGCCTCGGTCGCGCCGCTGTTTGTTGGGATTGGGATTGGGATTGGGATTGGGATTGGGAGGCGGTTCGACGAACGAGCGATGTGCGATGCGAGACGAGCAGAGTGCAGGCGTGCAGCTGAGAAACAGAGCACGCGACGGGTGGTCAGGTGTTGAGTGTCGTTGAAGTGGTGGGGCGCTGTGGGTGAGAGCTCTAACGCCAGTCTCAGCGAGAATTTCATGATCCTGTTATTAATACATTCATATTTTGAAAATAGCGTAGAAGAGTTTTATCTCTATAAAACTCTCTCTATTTCTACAGAATTTTTATCATCTCTCTTCATCAATACGGTGTCACATTAACCTATTTAATGCCCATAAAACTCTAATAAAACCTCACTGATACTAGCCTAAGTCTCTTGCACGCTGCACCCTTACCCTTGCCCAGTTGCCCGCGACACGGACAACATTTGGTTGCGCTTTGCGTCACGCCGGGGTTCTCATTTCTTTTCTTTTCGTTATATTATATCATATCATGTCATATCAGGAGGAACTGCATGATAACTTTATACTCAGGCCATGTTTAGTTGGAGGCCGGATTCGGCGCCGCCGGATTCAGCGTTACTGTAGCTACACTGTAGCGTTTTGTTTTTATTTGGTAATAATTATCCCATCGTTGACTAATTAGGCTCAAAACGTTCGTCTCGCAAAGTACAACCAAACTGTGCAATTAGTTTTTGATTTCGTTAACATTTAGTACTCCATGCATATACCGCAAGTTTGATGTAACGAAAAATCTTCTTTTTACATAGTGCCAAATTCAGAAAATCTGGGAAACTAAACATGGCCTCAGTTTCCACCACATGCTTGACCTGATGTCCCGATGAGGACCTGAGGAGGTCTTACAGAATAATCCTATTATTATATACAAACATGAAATACTCATTGTTATATACGTGCTTATATCTTTGTCGTATAATCAACTCCTCTTTACAAGTCGTGTCGTGTACATATCCGCTAAACTTGTCGTGCTGTCTATTCGCAAATATCGTCCTGTTCATTTTTGCTTATAAATCATATTTTTTTAATCAATGAACCATAATTTTCTCTCACAACAAATTAGTTAGCAGTACAAACAGGGCATATGATGATGTCACTGCTGAATCGTGCACCCATCCGTATGCCGACAGCTCCAGGCTACAGGGAAGATAACGCAGACAGCTCCCGCGACCGCGAGGCACGGTACCAACTCAACGCAACAGGACTGCCCGCTTCTATATGATGGCAGCTCCGGAGCGTGCCGACTGCGATGAGCGGCGGAGGCCCTGTTCGCTTGAAATTATTGACCCGACTTATCAGCCAGAATCTACAGAATTTTTTTTTCATAACAAAACAGCTTCAGTTAGCTTATCAGCCGATTTATATATCAGCCGAACAGCCCGTAGTCGACAAAACAACCCCAACGTTTCTGCCGGTGGCTGCTCCGATTCGTCCGAGAAATTTTAATATTTAACCATGAACCTGTAAGCCTCTCGGTATTTGTGTAACAGAACCGACCAATTATACGAAATTAAGTAAGAAAATCATCCACCAGAGCAGACGATTGAACAAACTTAAGCCCGTATAACCCGGTAGTCCGTGAAATCACAAAGGATTTCAAACCAACTCGTGTCCCAGCCATGATCGTAATAAGTTTAGCGGTCACCATCACATATTACATAAAAGTTCGCAATCTCAGATACATCAGAGTTTAAACATAGTTATTACAAACCAGTTCGAATAAAAGTAGCGGAAGTCATTTGTTCAAACCACACACACTCACGCGGAGTTTAAATATAGTGCCAGCGAATAATCATCTCTAACAAAAGCATTAGATGAGACGTAAGGAATGACCATGCCCATGGTCCTAAGCATCACCCATCGCAGGATAGAGGCAGTTGATACAATAGCCGTAATACATCTGCCCATCTGCAACAAGTGGAAATAAAACCCTGAGTACGAGAAGGTACTCAGCTAGACTTACCCGACATCACCGAAAATAAATGACACCAAGGAATTATGAAGGCTTTATAGTAGGGTAGCTGACTCATTTGCAAAAGAAGCATTTTTAGCATTTCAAGAACTTTTCTAAAAGCATTATTGTCAAGTTTAATTATTATTAACCTGTCGACTAGATTTGCACTTATACTAGAGTAAACATGTGATTAAGCAATTAATGATAACCACTGATCATTAAACAACTTCCATGCTGTCATATTCACTATAACTGTCAAAGTGTTCCATAAACATTTACTACGATGAAGTCACTCAAGTCAAGTGCTCACTATCCAGGAGCGATGGCGATTCGAATCGATTCCTAACCAGCTGGTGATTTATTCCTTACACAAATCTCACTCACCCGCTAAAGTGAGATATTGATCACCGAGTCAACTTTCCGGTATCTCGAGTTTGCCAGAACCACATGTACCGGGGCCGACCGATTTGCACTTTGGTCTTATCATCCCGCCCGTGTCCTACCACACCACACCCCGGCACGGTCTTGGCTGCGGGCAATCTACTCGGCCGAAAAATCTCCCACCTTCAGCGGTAGGAAGGTACTTTATCCGCCCCGCTAAATGTAAGGCATGCGTTCAACATGACTCGAGGCCCAACAACGGTCGGTCCTTAATCGACCTGAGACGAAACACTACAGTCCAAAACTCGCAAGTCTCCGCCGGTCTCAACTTCATTTAACACTTAGTTATACCATGACTTCATAGCCATCCAAACAGATCCGGTAACCACCTATAGCTCGCAGTGTGGCGAAATCACCCGACTTCTACCGGTCTAAGCCCGACTAAGCATTGACTTCATTGCGGATACCGGGGTAACAAGGATATAGTATAACAAAGGTAAACAAGGTATAATGCAGCAACGGTTGCAAACAACTCCTGAACGTAATGCATCAATTTAAAGTAAAGTATTTAATGAAATCATTGCAAACCGGGAGAAAGATGCTCCGGGGCTTGCCTCTCTCGAAGGAGCTCGGACGGTGATCGGGGCACTCCAGAAGCTCCTCAACGTCCTCCTCGTCGGCTTCTGGCACTTCCTGCGGCTGCACCTCGAACTGCTCCTCGGGCTCCTCGGGAATGACGACTGGGTTCTCGATTTGCGATCCTGTATGATGCAATGCGTGTAAGTGCCTATGCAATCGGTGCATCGAAGGAGATGAATGCAATGGATATGTTGAAAAGCAAGGTAGTCACATCATCCAAGAAAATATACTACAAGCACATGTCATCTACTGCATTCTCTTCTACTACTAATAGGTTAAGTCAACACATCTTATTAAATGCTTCAAAGATACACCAAAGCTTTACTAATTTCTTAATCACACTTAAAGCAACACTTGCTTAAACCCTAATTAATAATAGGTTTGAATAGCAACATATATTTCTGATGCTTCTAAAAATCTGAGAAAATTACAGTAGCATAATACTACCCTAAATAGACTACCATAAAAATTTCATGGCATTTGGATAAGTAAACTATCCTACATAAAAATGACAAGTTATAGCATAAAAATGAGCATGAAATTACTTTGTACTATGAAAAGTTTCAAACAACAGATTGAGTATTTTTCCTATGTTCTTTATAGTATATAATCACTGTACAAAAATTGTCACATGCATGTGTTATACAAAATTTGTGCTCTAGCAAAAATAACAAAAATCAGCCATTAAAGGTACTTGAACTACACCTCAAAATTTTCCCACAGCACATGCATGAAACATATTTTTCCTAGGAAGTACATGACATAAGAAGATTAACAAACTTGGAATCATATTTTTCTGAAGCCTATATATTTTTCTACATATTTTTCAAGTTATCAGCAATATTCAAGATTAAATAAAATCCTACAGAAAAATATCCCAAAAATGACATGCAATAATTTTCCCAAGTAGATCTGATGATAAGGAACCTAGCAAAATTT